ATCTTTTTAAGTGGGAGAACTTGCACAATTGGTGACTGACTAAATACTTATTTTCCCCACTGTAAATCAGAACTTTTACTTTTAATACTTAAGTACAAAAAATATCAGATACTTTTATACTTTTACTTAAGTAACATTCCTAAAGGAGACTTTAACTTTTACCAAAGTATTTTTTTGGTGAGATACTTGTACTTTAACTCAAGTATCACTTTGTGGTACTTTATACAACACTGCTCAACTCCACACAGGTGCTGTAATCTGACTTTGGTCACCATCATCACTGCTCGGATTCTTCTTCACCAAACTTAGTTTTCACACAAGAGCAACTTATAGGCTGGTTGTTACCAGATTAAAACTTTCCTTTTTGGTTGTAAAGAAAGTTGAGAACTGAACTCTTTTCTTTTTAATAAAGACTGGAAACTGCTGCACTGTGGAACCTGAACTTTAGAGTGGAACTGCCTTTCTGGGATTCCACATAGATTAAAACATTTTTATCCCTTTACAGATTAGTGTCATTTGTAAATAACTTTGAYGTTTCATGTTTAACTTTGACAATAACATAAAACGCCCCATTCCTTGTTTCATTGCAATGGCTGAGCAAACAATAACCGAGCTCTACATGGTATTTCCTGCATTGAAACATTTAACACATCCTCTTATAAATACTGAAAAGTAATGCAACTGACTAAAAGTGAAATAAATAATGCAGAAATATTATCAAAAGTAARAGTTTTACTCAATGAGTTGTGAGTAGCTGCCGTTTTAAATTCTGAACTCTCCCAAATTCTGACAGAGAATTCYAATAACCAATCAAATGCATTATGGGAGATGTAGTTTATGGTCAATGCTAGTTTTAAAGCAGCTTTTTTAAGAAACATTAATACATCTTTGAAGCTCTTGGAGGCCACATAAAATGCTGTTGGGCTATTTAAACTCAACTAAATTACACAGGGAGCCCATTACTCAAAGCCAACAGGACAGGTATTATATTTCATATTTTTGTTTATTTGGTTGCATTGAATCATAAATTTAAAGTTTATAATTTATATAAAATATATATTTTATAGTACCTAAATAAAAACTGGGTGGGGTGGGAGGACAGGGCCTCATTGGCAGGCCAAATGGAAGTGACCTGTGGGCCACATTTGGCCTATGGGCCTTAAAAGTTTGAAAAATGCTATAGTAGGTCTTATGTCATTTTGAACATCATACTGCTGTGTGTCCTCAACTCCACACAGTTGCTGTTATCTGAGGGGGAAAAAAGTAAAATAGTGTAATTCCTGCAGAAACAAATGAACACAAAACACAGATACAGAAATCTCACCCTACAACAGCTCATCCAGAAGCACATCTGTGACAGCAGAATCTAAACTGATAACTCCAAATGAATAATTTAGGCTTTAAGTATCTCGGAACACCACTGAAAATAAAAAAGTTGTACACAATCAAATAAAACAAGAACTATACAACAAAAGGCCCATTAGAAGGGCATTTTAATTCTGTGAAAAACATCTGGATCTAGGGAAATGTCTTCAGTTTGTATGCTCATTAACAAAACGCTACGCTGGATTTAATCACTCTGTCAGTGGGCGACTGAATCATTTACAGGAGTCACTCGCCCACCGAGAGCTGCTTGTTGACCAGCTGATGAATGATTATTGTCTTCACTTTACACCTCTCAGTTATCAGTTACGGGCTGTAATAACAAACAAGAAAATTAGAGCAGGGCAGTGACTGGAGCTGCAGCACTGACATCATGATTGAGTGTTTTATCAGCACACTCAACAAAAACATACAAAAGCTACACGTTCATGTTGCAATATACAAGAAAATTGACTTAGAAACATGAGATTATTCATTTTTCAGTGGCACGCATTAGATAAATGAGTTATTTAGTAGCTTCATCATTATTTAATATGCTGCTGTCACTGTGCTGTGAAAAAGTATTGTTCCCCCCTACAGATTTCTTGTTTATTTGCTAGTTCAGCATAGTTTTAAAATGATCTTTAATCAATCAAAATAAAACATGCATCAAACCAGATTCATAACAAAAAAGTAAAATTTAATTTACAGGAAATCAGTCTGCATGCTAACAGTATCTAAGCTTTTATGTAGCAAGTTTGTGCACATTGTTGGGTTTGAACACACCTCAATGAAAGAAAATAAAGGAGATGTGTAGGAACTGAACGTGATGAGCTCAAATGTTAGAGTGGGAGTTTTCTTGAACCAGGGTGGAACAGATACACAAGTTTAACTCAAACTATTAATGCCAAAGTAAAAAAAAAATAAATAAAAAAAATTATGTGACTGGTTATTGCTCAAAATATGTGCTGGAGAAGACTCTCAGCTGTTACACTAACATTTGACTTCATAATTGTAAAACGAACAGAGTTATAGCCACTTTTTTCAGCCATGTTAATTAGTTGTAGACGTCCGAGGATTWCTTCCTGGGATAATTTCATTTACCAGTTCATGTGATGATGCACAAGCAATTACAGTACATTATTGCCCTCTTTTTATGGCAGCAGGTGGTACCATTTGTTTAAAACATGCAATCAAAAAATGACTGAACTTCTTTTATGTTCCACACAGTAAACCCCCAAATGAGGGCAGATAGTGTTTTACTCTTTTCATGTGTAATTATCTTATTTGAATGCCGTTTTTTTTTTTTTTATTAAGAGAATTGCCTTGTTGAATTGTGCAACATAAATTACTTGGCCTTGCCTTTGTTATAGACATTTCCTTAAGAGATGCAAGAGCACCGAGCCAAAAGGAATCACAGCCCAACCCAGTAAACACTTCTAAAATATCAGTCTCCCAGCAGCTGCCAGTTGTATATCTGATTTATTACAACAATGAGAGTACCTCTCATGWTTCTGTCAAACCCAGCCAACCATTAGAGCCAATTGTACTGTTTGTGGAAATTGTCAAGAATGTGGCAACAAAAAGGCACAACTATATTCTGATAACCCAACTGAATTTTATCTGAAGGAAAGCAAAAATGTTTTCAGAACGAAATGTGTAAAGATAAAAAAAGAACTTTAATTCAGTCTCATAACTTGCACAGCTGGTTCAAATTTGTCATTGCTGCTTTAGTGTTATATCCTCCCTTTTTTATTAAAATGAGCATCATGTTTTGATAAACCTTATAAACAAAACTATTTCAATAAAGTAGACTACAGACCATCTGAGGTTTACAAATAGTATTACATTTTATTAATATATTTTCATAAAACAAGTTTAAGACTGTATCAAAAACTCAGTAAAAACATTAGATTTTTTGAACCATTTTTGCTAATGGTGATATCAGATATGAAATGTACATAATTCACATATTGTTGTGGATCTTGGTTCTCCGTCACATTGAGATAATGCTTTATCTTTTGTGATAGGCAAGTAAACAATCTTTTCTACCCTCACAAACTATAAAGTTATATTTTTTTCATGATTGCAATCATAAATCTAGACATACAATTAAAAAATAAAATCATTTCCCACTCGAGTTGCCCTCCCTCCCAATTTACTGATAAAACATCAACGTAATGAAGTTGTTTCATTTCACAGGCACACAAATATGTACATCCCCTTTTACCCAATGCCTCACCCGAACTGACAACAGGCAGTGCACTAAACCTAGCAGTGCAACACCTAGAGGCAGAGCAGTGATAATACAGTACTCTACGCCCACCCACCCATCACACTAATAAAACTGACTGAACACAAAACAATGGAGCCCCCTTATTGACAGATTCTCAGCCTGCTGCGAACCACAGCATTCCAGTGACCCCCCGTGTTATTGTTGTAGCAACGTCMCAAGTTTGACCTTGTGACCGCAGACATCACGTTGGCAACAGCAAAACCAGTCATCTCACAGGCAGCTTTAGTGGCACACATTAAAGAACAGAAAAATAAAAATAAAAATAAAAACATATTTAGGCTACATCTACAACAGGCAGATCAGAGTAATGTCTTTTGTGATCAAGTACCAGAGAAATCTCAGTCACATGGCGGATTCAAGGATACAAAATTATTTTTCTTCTCTTTCTCATTGGTCTTATCAGTCAATTCTTTCTATTCTGCGCAAGACACATAGTGCAAGGTTTAACAAGAATTTGCATAAGTGCAAGGATTGCATGTTATTATCAAGAGGGAGCAAAGGAAAAAAAACACGAGGCTGATCAATGTCTGATAAATGAACCAATTTTTGAGTAAATAAAATGTTTCATGCTTTCAGTTTGTCGTTTTGTATTTCATCCCCTCTAGATATAACAAGTGCAAAATCTTAGTAAACCTAGCTGAAGGGCAGATAAGAATGATTTCGAACTCAAAGATTAACATTGTGAGGGAGAGCCTCGAGTCTGTTGTCATGGTGACATTTGCACAAAGGCCCAAAGGACTTCAGTCTTTCCTGCTTCTTTATTATTTTCTATACAATAGAAATAGGAGATCATTGAAGATAAAATTGACTCCTCTTGGCAAAAAACAAAACAAAACAAACAAAAAAAAACTGAAAGAAAATTGTAAGAAGTCCAAAGCAGATRTGAAGGGGAAAAAGTGGAGCGGTGGAATAACCTGTTACTGTTTAATTGTACGTTACAGAGTTTTATCCGGGATCGTCACCTATATATGGTTGCTTGCTCTTCTATAAAGTCAAAGCCATTTCATTGATCAGAAGAAAAATTATTCCTGTAGTAGTTTCTGAGAAGCACCCCTACAGTACACCTGCTTTCCCCACTCTGAATCTCAAGTGAGGGTTAGGGAGGCACGTAGGGAGGTGGTGACCTGTATGAGGTCATATTCTTGGGCCGTGAGCCTTTTCCCTCAATGGGAACAGTAAATGGTGGCGGTGGCTGATAAGGTGGAGCATTTGGATCATCATCTTGATAAACTGAAAACTCCTCCATCAAATCCTGGCTGAGTAGGGTACTGTGGGGGCCAGTCATATTGGGGTACTCTGGAGGAGGAAGTGGGGGCTTTTCTTCCTGAAGGATAAGAGGAATGCTGGAGGATGGAGGAGACTTGGAATCATCTAACTCATCAGCAAATATTATAGGAACCCCCTTTTTGATGAAAGTGGCCTGCTCTTCTATGGTCATCTTCCCCTTGCGTTTCTTGCGGTAGCAGACCATGGCAATGATCCCAGCTATGAGAAGAAGTGCTGCTACCACTACAGCAGGAATGACAGTGTGCAGGTAAACATCATCACTGCTCCTACGACCTGTGCCAGGGGATGGTGTAGCTGTAGGAAGAACAGGTGTTGGCACCTCCCCTGGTGGAATGAATGAGTAGCTCTGGCATTTATTGGTACCACGAACAGAAATGTTAATTGGTTTGAATTCAGGCTCCATCGCTTTAATGAAGGCCGGCTTAGGTGTTCCTTGGGGATCTGAGATCTTTTCACTAAGAACCCTGATTTGATCTTTTGGACAAGGGCTCTGCTGAAGACTGTTGTTGGTCCATTGCACCACTATGGATCCCTTAGTGATGCTCCTCAGAGTCACTGTACTGCTGTTTCGATCACCAAGGGCATAAGCCAATTTTTTTGTCAAACGAATCTTCTCGTGGACGTCACTGTTTAAAGTTTTAGGGTCACCGTAAAAACGAGCAGCAAATACAACTGACGGTTTGTCATTGTTAGACCATCGATTGACTCGAACCTCAAATGCATCCATGATGCTTTTTCCCCCCTTATCAGTGGCCAACATAAAATACTCATGATTTCCCTCATGTTCCTCGTCTGGTAGACCATACAAAAGTTGAATAGTGCTGTTGAACTGAATCCATGATTTTTCATTGACTGATTCTTTGGGGGTTTTCTTCAGAGTCAAACGCAGCTTGTCAGTGGTACCATCCTCTCTGTCATAGAATGCATCTGAAGCAATTTTGACTTCAAAGTATGTACCAACCCATGCTGTCACCTGATCAATGGGATTGCGAATCTCTGGGATTTGATTGGAATCTGGGATTAGAGAAAGAGGGGTTGTACGGCGAGGTGGTTTAACAGTGGTAGACTTTGGTTCTCGAGGAGCTTGGGTAGAGCTTTTGGGTTTCTTAGGTTTCCTTGTGGTAGAAGGTTTGGGTCTTTTGGTGGCGCTTGGTGGTGTTGGCAAAGCAGTGGGTTCCGGAATTGTAGACCGAGTCATGCTAGGCTGAATAGGAATGGTGCTTGTAGTTCCTAGTACTCTGGTAGGTTGAGGAGGTTCAAGAATAGGCGTATGAGCTATTTGATCTTTGACCCTCATGGTAGGCTTTACTGGCAGAGGCAAAGGGCCTCGGACAGGGGGAGCAGAGTAGTCTGTTGCTGGGGAAATAGAGGGTGAAGTTGGGGTAGGTACAACACGTGAATAGGGCTCTTGGTGAATAGTTGGAGGAAGCAGGGATGGCACTGGAGTAGGTGTATTGTTCAACTGTCGCCTGACTCTTTTCACTCCATGAGGCTTTTTGTTAACAATATGCCAGCCAACCACAGGGTAACCCAGCCTGGCTGACATTGTCCCATCTTTTGCCGAGGACTGAACACTGCTAATGTCAGGAATGCTATTCTGATCGAGGGCACAGCCAACTTTCCATGACAGCAGGGCCCCATTCTCAACCACCTTCTTAGCATTTCCTGGTCCAGCCATGAAAGCAGACATGTCAAATAAGCGGTTGTTGACAACAGGAACCACTCTCATGTGCTCTAGGGGTACATGAGAAAATTTCCTCATAACTTCCATTAAAATGACCCTCTGGTCAGCAACGATCTTTGTCAAGTCAGCATCCAGTATGACAGTGAGGACAGTGACTGGCTCCTCGGAGCCACAGGTGAAAGGCTGAAGGCCACTGATTTCAGACTGTAGAGTGAGAAGGGCTGGCTCAGTGTCTGCCCTATCTTCTGGATATACTTCAATAGTAAAGACTATACTGGGATACCCTTGGCTGTTTGCCTTTCTGGTCATCTCCTCTCCTGACACTAAGATATGATATACACCTTTATCTTGCTCCAGAGCCAAACCCCTCAGAGTGCAGTTTTCTTTGTCCCAATATAGCCAGGAGGGTAAAGTCTTTTTGCCCATCTCAGTGAGCTGCAGAACAGAAAGAAGAGGGTTATTAATACTTTATGAATATTGCTAAGATAAGTCTGTACAAAAATACAAGTCATTGCTAACATTCACTATGGGACTGATACACATCAAAAGTAGGTATGATTCAGAATAGATTAAAAAATAGATGCAACACAAAGGCATTTTCTTTTAAAATAACTATCACGGTTTACTTTTAGGTTTACTGACTAAATAACCTCAGATTAAATCCTGTATTTAATTGTTGTAAAGCAAGCAGGCTGCAGGCTGGTAATAGAAAACTAAGTCACAAAGAACTGAAATGAATGCAAAACTGAAATATGTAATATACAAAAAAAGAATATTTCCCCAAATCCTGCTCTCTCTATTCCATTCAGTTTATCAAATCATGGCAAATAGGAACAGGAAGCAGAGTGAGCCTCTATTCATAATAACCATGTGAGTCATCACTCATTATTTTGAGTTATTACCCTATGACAGGATATCATTCTGTAACGCCATTCAGGCCAATAATAATCTCATCTCGCGCATAAGTCGGACTGGAACAAATTGCAACACAGTCAGCATCAATCAGTAATGATACAGTGATCAAAACTGAAAGGATAAATACTATATGGTAGATTGCATATTATTATGATGACAGAAAAAATTAACTCTGGCTAATGTGACAACTGTGTAGCTMAGAGAAGACTGACGAGCAATAAACATTACTATAATGTTACGACAACTGAACGCAAAGACAAACATATTTTCACCCACTTTTCCACTTTTTTGTACAAGAACAGTCAGATTAATAATAATGCACTTATTATTCTTTTACTCAGTATTTTAAAATTGCTTTAACTGGAACAAAACAAATATCTGGTGCATTTGTCCCCAATGAAAATAAGRTGCTCCTAATCAAAATAAAGAGAATTTGTCTTGTAGTGGCAACCATAATAACACAGGATGTCTATATTTTTTGTTTTGTTTCTGTATTACATGCCAGATATTTGCCATACAAAATCAGAACTAGAATTACTTCATTATGAACATATTGATGTTAGATTTTTAGGTTACTTACAAAGACATTGCAGCTGTCGTGGTCAGGTCCTAGAGGAACCTTCAGCTGGAACACTTGTCCCACAATTGCTGAAGAATCAGGGATGCTACTGTGCACTCCAACATTCTTTGCAGAAGAGTTTGGAATAGATATAGGAGGCCCTTCGCCTACAGATGCTGCTGCAGTCTGGAGCTCAGAGAGCACAGAGGACTGCATGGAGGCCTCTAGTTCCACAGATATCATGTCCACCACTGTTTCTTGCTGTTCTGACACTGAGCCATGAGCCAGGGTTGCCAGAARTCCCATTACAAAARGGAGAGTCCGGCATGAAAGAAACCTGCTCCTCCTTGTATCCTCACAGCTCATGGCTCTCAGTTTATAGTGCATAGTAATAGGCCTTAAGGCTGCCCAACAGATGTCTATGAACAACTGAAAAGGCCACATGCACTTGAGTCACGTTGATGATATGCTTGTGGGTCAGAATCCCTACTGATTGGCTATGCTCATAAATGCAGCAGTTTCTCTTTCTTGTCCTACGTGATCCATGAAGATATCTTTGACAGCCTGTCAGATGGCCATGTCAGCCCCCTATACGAGATAAAAAAGGAGAAAGAACATAAATATGAAGCCATATACAAACAAGCAAACAAACCATTAATGCAAAATAGCTGCAGTTTTATTGCTTAGAGGCAATTTCTATTAAAAAGATGGCTATTCTACACATAAACTACAAAAATATATTACCAAAGATTTTTCATCACTTAACTTGGTCATTAAATAAAAACAGATAGTTAAAACAAAGTTGTTTAAAAACAAACCATAAAATAACGTGTCACAAAAACAGTACAACTCATACACAAACGGACACATTTTCAATGAAGTTTCACCAATCATGCTACATTAATAGATCTAAACACGTCAGCAATAATTGAAGTTGACTAAAATTTATGTCAAAATAAATCATTGCTTTGTTATACCAAGTAAATGAGAAAAGAAAGATTGAGGTCAATTTGTTTTCATACGACAATGTAGAACTCAAATTTGTAATTAGATATATGAAATTCAAATAATTTCCTTATTGTTAACGCACCCGATTTAAAATTGTAGTCAATCTAAAAATAATTTGCTAAAGTCAGTCTATATTTTGAGCTTTGAAAAGACTGGCATTTTGAATGTAATAAACAGAGTTTCAAAATAAATGCTGACTGCTTGATTTTAAATTATTTTCATGGCATTTTGAGTTATAGCAATTCCCCAGCAATGCAGCTATGTCAAAGGTTGGTTGCCTTGATTGTAAGATTTAATTAGAGAAACCAGGAGTTGGATTTAGGAGTCTTCACTTTGCTGACCTCGTCAACTTTAATCTTGCAGCACTCAAAAGGGTAGTGGAGGCTTAGCCATTTGCCTGGAAGCCCAATAGCTGCCTGGCACAAGATTGTGACATCAGTTAATACATCTAATGTCTTTCCTGCTCTGAACCATGTTGAAATACATGCTTTTCACTGTATAGATGTACAAAAATGACAAAAGGAAATTAGCAAAACAGACACAGTGCATTTAATAATCTGTTCTATTTTACACAATCTACTAAGATTTGAAGTTAAAGGGGAGCATTAACAGAACAAACAAACAAAAAATATTGCAGGAAAACACAATGTATTTACTCAGTACTGATTGCAGGGCACTCAGCTTGGACTGAGATATTAGTTGCATTAAACATAGTGTGAAGGAATAATTACTGAAATCAACCATGCATGAAAAACGGGGGGAGGGGTCCAACCAGAAAAGAGACTGGGAGCCTCCAAATGAGTAAGTTTTAAATTAGGTTGTCTCATTCAAGTATTTCTTTCTCTCAAATATATTTTATGACTAAGACAATCAATTAAATAAATTTGCTTAAAATCAAGCATATAGGGCAGACTGTGCAAGCCCTCAGAATATGTAAAGCCCAGAAAATATAGTCTAAAATATTATCATATAGACCTGTGTGGCTGTTACCTGTTCAAAGTCTTAAAAAATGCTGCTCTAATTCATGCTGTGTTTTCCCTTGAATCTTTTTTACATGACTGAATTCACAAAAGAAAAAGTTTTTTTTTTCTTACTGCTCCTGTTATTAGTTAAGGCTTCAATRTTGAGTTATAAGAGGCAACACATTAACTAGCAGCCACTGATATTTCAAGCACAACTTTTGAATGAAATCATTACAGACAACAGCTATGTTTTGATTCAGGGCGTATTAAAATGATCAAAGAGAAAAGTGGTTTGCATGAACAACTGAATGAGACTGCGCTGAGTAAAAAGAGAAAAATATGTCTAAGAAAAAGAATTCCTTCATGCTCACTTTTGAATGATAAAGAGCAACAGTCATCCAAAACAATCACTAGTCTGTTGTAATAATGTGCATTTCAGGGGAAGCAAAGTCTAGCAATGTTTCAGAGGTATTATTAGTAATGAATGAAGGTTGTGAGCAAGTTCACAGCTAAACAGGTAAAAGACAAAAGTTGAGGTGAGGGATGAATAAGTGAAATTTTATACTGTGTGTCAGGATTAAAGCATTTCTAGAAATGGACCTCCCTGCTGCTGCCTGACTTCAACAACTGATATATTTTTGTTTAATTAATAAAACCTTGATCATAAAGATTTTAATTTTTCATACAAATTTAGATCTGGTAAAATCAGGGTTTAATCTGTTTTTTTAAAGCAGTATTCAGTTTAGAACCAGGGTCTGAAATAAATGGCATCAGCAGTTGGACTCTTTTCGTAAAAACAATAAAAGCATCAGATCTGAGGGTTGACCTTRTCAAAACAGTCCGAGAAAATAAGCCAAAACTCGAACACATAACTTAAAATGGTTTCCCATCCTGAGTGTAGCTTGAAATATTAGAGAAAAACTGAACTTTTCATACTACTATATTACAAAAAAAAAAGAAAAGCAATAGAAAAATCTGTGTGAAACATATGACACAATGAAGGCCATTCTCTGATGTTTGCCTCCTCCTCGCAGATATAAAGAAAGAGGACTGAGTCACAACTCTTTTAACCCACTAACCAAGCTGAGACATGCACCTTAACTCAGATTTCTATCTTATCTGGGACATTTCAGTGCCTTTCGCCCTCTGTCCCTCCTCTGACTCCTAGTCCAAAAAATAAAATGTCTAAACCTTGTCTTCTTTAAACATCTAGCAAGAAAAGTCTTGCTGAGCAAAAAATACATAATAATACATGATTCATAAGCACAAGGATTAACATAAAAACAGGTTTTACCCATAAGCTACATCTAATCATAATAAGCACTACACATCACCTCAGGCTGTTGCCACACACGCACACATTTTTGAGAGGGGGTGGGGTGTAAAGGGTGAGGAGGGAGTAATGGGGGAAGGGGCAAAAGAAAAAAAAAAACATCTGAGCATCAAAGATTGCTTTCCGCAGTGTGTCCTAGATTTGATCGCATTCAAGTTTTATGGCGTGCATGTAATTCAGGATCTAAAAATCAAACATCTCATTACAAAAGAAACATTTAATCAGATATGCAATATGTTCAGATGCTGTGTTACATGGAAAAACAAAAGAAAATATGTGTTTGAAATTAATTTTTAAAAGCAATTACATTTATTTGAGGAAATGCCATACAAACAATGAAAGCACAGCTTAACAAAATCACTAAGTGTAAAGCTTTGTTGGATTTGGAAGTGGTGTTTTTAGATGAGTGATWTTGGATGCTTTTGATATTTTACTTTTTAAACAAATCCAGTCATTTGCTTTCAAGCCATTAGACTTTCCCTTCTTTGCATTTAGCCTAATCAGTTTGAACCTGAGGTTTTATCATAACAGCTCTTCTTTAGCCCTGGGGTTTTCTAGAAAATGTAAAAGGTTACTTAAAAACCTTCAATTTTTCAGCTTTTTAAGGAAAATGAAAACAACTGAAATTTGAARCAATATTGGAACTCTTGTTTTATGAATAAATTAGTTTAAATAAAAATATTTCCCAGCACTGATTTAGCAGCAGGGCTTCTAACTAAATCCATAATRTTACAGAGGATTACCAGAATGTAAAAGTATTGGAAGATTTACACTTGATTACATCAATTTTTCATTCMTGTGCAAATAATTCATAGCTGAAAAGGAGTGGTATTTCAACCTCACAGACTGTAGAAAAYAAAGTCAAAATAGTGATGAAATAAKGACATCTCCTAARGTTTGATCCAGCTGTTTCTGTAAAGTTGGGGCAGCAATTGTAACAATTACRCAAAATGACTACAGTCAATTTAAATAATCAAGAACAATCCAGCATGTCATAATTGTGACAGGCCCATGTGGCTCGCCGGTAAAATATTTAGAAAATGCACTTTAAAACGCCACAGGATTAAACAAAGACTTTGTATCCAGCTGATTTTTCTGACACGTGCACTCAAACAAAAACACGGGCTGTTCCTTTAACAAGAGTGTGTAAGTTGTAGCTACGGTTTCGTTGATGAGCTTTCCGGTGTGTGGTGAACAGATGATGCTGGTTTAAGTATGGGACATTTGTGCTTGTTTCCTCAGAGACCTGCACTACACGGGGAACAAAAACGTTTTACAACCACCCATGCAGTCTGCAGTTCAACAGTAGTTAAAACTTGAAAACCATCAAAAATAATTAGGCCTCCATACACAGTGGCACTCAGGGCCAATTGAATTGACGTACCACATGCAGCAGCCTCTAGATAGTGCCTGAGCTGAATAACAAACATATCCACAAGACAAGGTTGCTTTGCAATTGGATGTTTCCCTTGTGTTGCCCTCCACTCTGTTCAACAAAGTAATGAAATATGCGGGGACATAACGACAACGACAAACAAAACAAATCTGCCTCTGAGTGAAAGTCTAACTTGGCACTAGGATCTTGGAAGCAACTCTTTTCACACTGCTGGAAGACTACTGTGTGCTTTCAAACCCCAGAAGCTGCAAGTCTACAAATTATTTTGAATGGTCTTTTATGAACGTGCTGCTCTCTAATGCACAAAGCACAAGTGCAAAACACTGGCAGCACTCTTGTTTTCTTATCAGAAAATTAGCAGTTATTGTCATGCTCTGCAGTTTTATTGTTGTTTGCTTTACTTCATTCTGGATGCTTCCCCAACAGCAGCATCTGATAATGATGAAGTCACAAGTTATAAATGGTTTAAGGAAACGTAATAAATGGCAAAATAGTGGAGCAAACAAACAAATTGGTGCAGGGAGTGCTGAATGAGTCTTCTTGGCTAGTGCTAGTGGCCTCTTGAATGAGATGACGTTTTTTGATAAGTCACACCATCATAAAATAGCTAGCACACAACAATGACAATAAAATACTAAGGAAAGCAACTACAACTAGCTTAACATTATAATATTAAAGTAAAACTCAAACTAAGTTTTGGACTAAGATCTTCTTTCTATGCTGAAAAATGACAAGAAGTATGTCTGTTTTGGTCAAGTCTTGCAAATAGTGATATGTATAATAATTTCACACAATACTGCACAATCTTTCTTGATATGTTAGTCTTTTGAATATGTGTTGGGGATGACTCTCAGGTATTGCCACACCAAGAAGTCTTACAGCTATTTGTTGAGGATAATAAGCTGGGGTGGCCATCTTGAATCGAGTGAACTCTAAAWGTTKWTCAGTTGTAGTTGTACAACCAGTGATTACTTTCTGGGTTTTTATAAAATATGTGCAGTGGTTCATGAGCTTTGTAGCAGACAGTGTTGACAAACAATAAAGTCGATATTTTAAACACAGATCTTGCATGGTCCAGTAGTGTTCAGAGTATGTGTCGGGGATGACTCTCAGCTTTAATTGCACCATAATACAAACAAAGCTGTATCAATTTTTTTTGTCTGCTAAGGTTGATTAGCTGAGGTGGCCATCTTGAATAGACAACTCCAAAAGTTATTCGGTTGTAGATGTACATACAGTGGTTACTTCCAGAAAGCCAGAGGTATTACTAWTGATAATACTGGGTAATATTATTAGTAAGGTAGTACTT